CTGGGTTCGATTCCTCAGCACCACATAAGCAAAAAGAAAAAAGCCAGAAGTGGTGCTGTGGCTCAAGTGGTGGAGCGCTAGCCTTGAGCTGAAGACCTGAGGGACAGCACCCAGGCCCAGAGTTCAGGCCCCACGACTGGACCCCCCCCCAAAAAAAATCCCAGATATTCAAGAGGTAGAGGTCGGAGGATTGTGGTCAGAGAAAAGATCAGGCCAAAAGCATGAGAACAAACTAAAAGTAAAATGAGTACAAGAATGGCAAGAGTACCTGCCTGGTAAGCACAAGGCCACTTTTTGCTCATTGATCACTTAGGGGTGTGTGTGTGTGTGTGTGTAGTAAAATGAGTGCAAGAAAGTAAAATGAGTACAAGAATGGTGTGTGTGTGTGTGTGTGAATTAAAATGAGTGCAAGAAAGTAAAATGAGTACAAGAATGGCAAGAGTACCTGCCTGGTAAGCACAAGGCCACTTTTTGCTAATTGATCACTAGCTGGTGTGTGTGTGTGTTATGAGTACAAGAATGGCAATTTGCTCACTGATCAACTAGCTGGTGTGTGTGTGTGTGTGTTAATACTCTCATGGATGTTCTTGCCCCGGTTGGCTTCAAAGCATGATCTTGAGATCTCAGCCTCCTGAATAGCTAGAATTATTGCTGTGAGCCACTGGCATTCAGTGCTATGAAAGTGTTTTTGTTTTGTCAGTCATGGGGCTTGAACTCTGGGCCTAGGCTCTGTCCCTCAGCTTTTCAGCTCAAGGCTAGTGCTGTACCACTTAAGCCACAGCACCACTTTTCAGCCTTTTCTGCTTATGTGGTGCTGAGGAATCGAACCCAGGGCCTCATGCATGCGAGGCAAGCATTCTACCACTGAGCCACCTTCCCAGCCCCTGAAAGTGTTTTTAAAATAGAGAACATGAGATGAAGGATAAACATTTCTAACTTAAGACACAAACTGGCCATGCAAAGTAAAGCTATCCCAATTTTATTGTGTAAGTCAAATTATATATTGTCCCATTTGATTCTACTATATACATACTGAAACTTGGTTATGACGACTTCCTCATTTTAAGAAATGGGATTAAGCTTCTCTAAGAAACCTCAGTAAGCTGGACATTTAAATAACATCAAGAGTATCTTGTCAGCTGGGTGCTGGTGGCACATGCCTGTAGTCCTAGCTACTCAGGAGGCTAAGATCTGAGGATTGTGGTTCAAAACCAGCCTGGGCAGGAAAGACTATAAGACTCTTATCTCCACTTAACTAACAGAAAACCAGAAGTGGAGCTGTGGCTCAAAATGATAAAGCTCTAGCCTTGAACAAAAAAAGCTCAGGGACAGCACCCAGGCCCTGAGTTCAAGCCCAATGGTTGACCAAAAAAAAATGTGTTGTCTTTATGCCCATGAGCAATTACAAATTTGTTCCTATCTACCATGGGTCAGTAGTATACTAATGTGCTGAGCAATCAATTGCATACATTACTTAACCATATATAAAACTTTGAAATTGGTGGTACTGTCTTCATTGTACTAACAAGTGGGGAGCCAGGACTCAAAACTAGGTGTATTTGACTCCAAAGCTGTTTTTGTTATCTTTATTTTTACTGTGACACATGAATGATGCTCATCAGGCAATACATAATCTAATTTTCGGGTAGTAACTCTGCTCAAAGACATCCTCAAGACATCTTTGAAAGGATTCTATGGCTAAAACAAGGTAAGAGATTGTTTGTGTTCTCCTCTTCCCCTTTCCCCTTTGCTAACTGATGTTTAACCACCTGTGTTTACTTTAGTGATCTAACCCAACTCACAACCTTAAAGAAATGCATAAGCAATAAAAACTTTCATCATTTTATCCTTGTATTATTTGGTACTTCTTTCTCTTCCTATTATTAAGTCACAGAGTTGTCCATGTCTTAGAACTGGATAACCCTGCAAGCACTATAGACAAAACAATGGCAACAATTCCTTTCTCTCTCAAACAGTCTTACCTGCGAGATAACGAATGGTCTCAAGTTTATTAGACTCCATCAGTGTTTTTAAGGAAGCAATTTCAGTATCAATTTTATTACTGGTCTCTGAAATAGTACTTTTGATGTGGGTATCCTGTAGTAAGAATAAATAATTAATTTTGTTCCTATATATTACAGACAAAAACATTTCATTAGGGATTTTTACTAATGTGATAATTTTGAGGAAATCCAAAAAAAGAAAAGTGGTAATTAAAAACACTGACATAACCATTAGAAAGAATAATAAATGTCATTTTCAGGGAAATGGATAGACCTAGAACAAATCATGTTAAGTGAGATAAGACAAGCTCAGAGAAACAAATGCTGCATGTTTCCTCTAATAGGCAGAAGCTAGGTCTAAAATATACCAAGACTTGATAAATTATACAGATCTCTAGGAATTCACACATAGTAAGAACAAAGGAGGATACTCTTGGGGGAGAAACACAAAGGCTCAATGTCTATACAAATCTGATCATATAAAATATTTATTAAAAGGAACTACAGGAAATGGTAATAAGAAAAAAAATTAAGCACTGCTAACCGACAAATCACATTCTTCATATTTGGAGATCTTAGAACTATCACATTACTGGCATGTTTTACTAAAAACTTCATAAGAGTACCTACCTACCTAAGCATATTGGATTACAACTGAGAAACAAAAATTTTAATCCCAGAACTTATGGTTTTCAGAGAATTTGCTGATTTTCCTTGTTCGTAATATCCTTTGGTCAAAAGAAAAAATAGGATCTCTGAGAGGCTATATATGACCCTTCCTTCTATTAAGTTCTGAATAAGAGTGGTATTTCTTCTATGAATAAGTCATAAACAGCTTTTAACTTTTAAGAAAAAGATGAGACTGAGTCAGAAAGCTCGAGTTTATTCAAACCATGGAGATTATGTATATGTTATGATTACATTGAGGTTTGAACTCCAGGACCTTTTGTATACCAGGTGAGCAATTTACCATGTAAGCCATATTGCCAGCCCAGAATATAGGTTCTTATCCCACCTCTACAATTTATTAGCTTATTTATTAACCTCTTTGTGTATTCTTCCTCAAATTGGCAAGGTGAGAAATAATAGTAACTACTTAACATAAGCTCTCATGAATTATTAAATGAATTAAGAGAAAATGAAATATACAAAGTTGTGTCTGGCATGCAATATATATTTACCAACATTTACTATGGTTAAAAATTTTAAGATAATTAGTTAAACCTGGGCATTTAACTACTGCTAGGAAGTCTGTCTTTAAAAGAATATTTACAGCCATGCACGAGTAGCTCACACCTGTAATCTTAGGAGGCTGAGATCTGAAGATTGTGGTTGGGAGTCAACCTAGGCAGGAAAGTCTGTGAGACTCTTATCTCCAGATAACCACCAAAAAATCCAGAAGTAGACTGCTAGCCTTGATCAAAAAGTGCCCAGGCCCTCAGTTCAAGTCCTAGGACTGGCACACACACAAAAAAGAATATTTACTATCAGTGTTAAAATAGGTTGGAGCTGGGAAAGTGGCTTGCCTCGCATGCACGAGCTCCTGAGTTTGATTCCTCAGCACCACATAAACAGAAAAGGCTGGAAGTGGCACTGTGACCACTATACTAGCCTTGAGCTGAAGAGCTCAGGGACAGCACACAGACCCAGAGTTCAAGACCCATGACCGACCAAAAAAAAAAAAAATTTAGGTTAAGAAAAGTATGCTATTCAGAAAGCTTAATTCATGCTCCCAAGTCACAGCTTCTATATACTAGATACCTGGGGCAAAAGTACAGATAAACAATAGCTATATAGAAATCATGTATTCTTCAGGGCTAGCTATTTAAAAACTAAACTTAAAAACAGATACATGTAAGAGCAGTTTTACAAGGCACAGAAAGTATATGAAAAAGAAATTTCTATATACTGCCTTACCTTTTTGGTAAATTCTGTGGTTGCTTCCATTAGTTGCTTTTCTTGGTCTGTAAACTAAGGGACACGAAGCAGCAAGAGTTTAAAAGGAAAAAAAGACTAAAAAAGACTAAGAACTGGGCTGGGAAGGTAGCTTAGTGGTAGAGCGCTTGCCTTGCATGTCTGAGGCCCTGGGTTTGATTCCTTAGCACCACATAAGCAAAAAGAAAAAAGCCGAAAGTGGCGCTGGCTCAAGTGGTAGAGCGCTAGCCTTGAGCTGAAGAGCTGAAGGATAGCGCCCAGGCCCAGAGTTCAGGCCCCACGACTGGACAAAAAAAAAAAAAAAAGACTAAGAACCAAGAAAGAACATTTGAAAGCATATTACCATATCTGTTACTCGGCTCCTTTCGAGGTTGATGTCCAGTTTATTATCTGCTCTGATTCTGCTGGTTTCATGCTTTAAAAATAATAAAAAGAATTTTGGAAATAATCTTGTAATGAGTATTTGTTCTGAAATTAAGTGGAAAATTTTTTACTTACCATCAGTTGCTGCTTAACTTGGTCTAATTCAATTTTCATTTTCTAAACAAAAGAAAATTACATGTAATTAACATTATACCAAAAGTCACAATATGACTTATTTATAAAATATGAAACAGTAGCAGTTCAAACACTATGTTAGGGTTTGAACTCAAAGCCTTGTGTTTGAAAGGGAGGCTCTCTACTACTTGAACATTTGAAGAGGACATCTATGGATGTCTAATATAGACTATAATAAAGTTAAAAGGAACAAACAATAGTATTCAGGAAGTAATTCCTATGAGCAAGATATCAGACAATGTATTTATGTCTTGGTATTTAATTACTACTTTAAAAAATGTGACTTTATAAATTAAAAAATATTTAGTGACAATTTGAATAACACATTTTTTCCTTAAGTGACAAATTGGATCAAAGTGGGAAATATCACATTACTTTCAGCTTTAGGAACATTCTATGATGAGCTGTATTAGAACTTATATTACATTAGTCTCAAAGGTTTTCCCTTTTCTGTATTATTCTTTGGTATGTAAAGAACTGACTTACAAAGATAGGTAATTGTATATTTTTAATCTAAAACTTATTTAATAACTACATAAAATTAGTTTCATTAAATATCCATCAAGGCACTTATGAGAACAGTTATTTTTATTTTTGCCAATCCTAGGACTTGAACTCAGGGCCTGGGCCCTACTGTCCCTAAGCTTCTTTTGCTCAAGGCTAGTACTCTACCACTTGGGCCACAGTACCACTCCTGGCTTTTTCTGTTTATGTGGTACTGAGGAATCAAACCCTGGGTTTCATGCATACTAGTTAAGCACTCTACCACTAAGCCACATCCCCAGCCCAGCAGTTATTTTTATTAGTAATGGTATTACCTCATTCTCTGCTCTCAGGTTTGCAAATTCACTCTTCTCTAGGATGACCATGTCTTTCCTGATGGAATCTAAATGAGCCATCAGCTGTTGTACTGTTATTTCCTAGAAAACAAGAACAATCCAGTGACCTTATATTTGGGTGGTTTTCATGAAACTTAATATGTTAACATGCTACAAGAAGTAGTGTTATGGAAGTGGCACTGTGGCTCAAGTGGTAGAGGGCTAGTCTTGAACTGAAGAGCTGAGGGACAGCACCCAGGCCAGAGTTCAAGCTCCATGACTGACAAAAAACAAAACCCCCAAACAACAAAAAAAGAAATAATGTTGCTTAGTTAAGTACTAAAAATAGGAAAACTACATATCCTGATATCTAGGACATAAACATATCAAAATAAATACATAAAATAAAAACAAGGACATTGAATGAAGAAAAATGTATTTTCCCCGTGAAGAGAAATGAATATCTAGATCTTTTAATGAAAAGAATTCCAATAAAATGCTTGCTTAGCGCCTTGACAAATATTGGTTTTTCATTCGTTAGGATACTTAGCTGGAAAGTACTTTGTTCACTTTTAATCAATGCCAAGGTATTGAATAAGACATACAAGTCAGGGATTGAATAAGACACACTTGTGTGTGTCAGACACACAACTAGGTAAAAGAATGGTCAAAATAACTGTACTTTCTTAGTGTAACATTGTTTTAATTTTTTTGTATCTTTTCTATATATACTGCAGAGACTCGGTGAAAGAAAAGGTTGCTCCTACCTAATAAATTCATAGCTTTTCCTTTGCTAAGGAGGAACTTGATTTTGGTTTTTAACCCAAACTGTAGATATTCTTGCCTCAACTTCCCCAGTGCTAGGATTACAAATGTATACCACTATGCTTGGCAAGAGGGACTGTGTGTGTGTGTGTGCATCACAACTGTGTGTTGTGTGGCTTAAATTGGGGCCTGGACACTGTCTCTGAGCTTTTTTGCTGAAGGCTAGTGCTCTACTACCTTAAGCCACAGAGCCATTTCCAGTTTTTTAGTAGTTAATTGGAGAGAAGTAGGTCTCTCAGACTCCTGCTCCATCTGGTTTTGAATCATGATCCTCAAATCTTAGTCTCCTGAACAGCTAGGATAACAGGTATGAGCCACTGGTGCTGGGCTCTAGCTTATTCTTTAATATAAAATTATTACCTTTTGTCTATATCACCACAGTGTGAAAACTCAAATTACTCAAATCTCTGTTGAGCCTGTCATCAGTGACAAAATAGAATTCTACTTTCGGGTTGTTAGTGAGACTAAAATAGTACATGTAAAATACCAAACAGTATGCCTCACGTCTTAAGGCTTAGTAAGGAGTGTAATTTGACTAATAATTTGCATAACAAGTCAATTAAAATGTTCTCTAGGCTTTCAATGAAGTCTTTCCCCATCCTATTAATGCCTTTTCAGTTTGAAAGACTGAAAATTAACCACAACAAATGACAGCAGTAAAATGTATTATACAGAAAGATCAGCTCTTCTACTGTAATGAAATTTCCACAGGGAAAGGCTGTTCCACTAACAGTCTACTACCATCTCATGATTCAAATAATACGCATCTCTCACACAAAGACTGAAAAATTCCATTGTTTGGATTACTATAATCTTGATGGGACTTTAACTCTTTAGACCTTCTAGATATTGACTTTACCAAAGATCTCCTTACTCCTTCCTCAAGGTCATCTAATGAAATTGTTAGAAATGATAATTTAAAAAATGAGTATATTACCTGTTGAGCTTGAGTGACCATTTCCTTGTAGATAGTATCCAGGCTCACATTTGATAAAGTGCTTAATGCTGATACAATTGTTTCTGCTTGTGCTTTGTCAAATCCTGTAGATATTTTAAAAATATGCATATCCCTATCAGGAGAGTAGAATAATATTCTTCAACTCTTAAATTGTTATATTTTAAAATAATTATTACCACTAAAAATGACAAGCCAAATTGTTCCCTAAAAGTACTCTATAAATAGTTTTCATTTTGTCAGTTGTGGAGCTTGAATTCAAGAACTGGGCAGTGTCCCTGAGCTTTTGTACTCAAGGCTGGTACTCTACGACTTTGAGCCATAGTGCCATTTCCGTGTTTTGTTTTTTTTTTTCCTGTTGGTTAACTGGAGATGAGTCTCATGAACTTTCCTGCTTGGACTGGCTTCAAACTGCGATCCTTAGATCTTAGCCTCCTGAGTAGTTTAGTGAGCCACCAGTGCCTGGCCATATTGATTTAAACAGTTCTTTTTAAAATTAGCATATCTTGAGCATTTCCAATATCAGTAAATACTGTTGAAGTAATGATTGTAAAAGATTCCATTGTACGGATGGTACTTCTTATTAGTTACTCTTAATTGTTCGTAATAGCAATAATGTCTTGGCAATTTATTTTTTAAGTGCTATTTCCTTCTCACAAGGAGTATTTGTATTACTTACCATGAGTTTCCAAGTCCTGAACCAGTGCATGAGTATCAAAAGTTAATTTCCTCTGTTCTAAAGGAGTTATGTCTACTGGTCTCCTATCATATCCTTCTGTGGTTGTAGTGGTCAAGAAATCTGCACAAAGAAAAGGTTGTATATTTCTTGTATTAACTGATAAATAAATAACATTTTCTCCACTATTTAAATACAGTTCTATCTTTCTGAATGAGTTCTGTAATTAACACAAGTTAATGCTTACATGTTTTTAAACATGTTTCCTACTTACTAGTCTATAAACTAGTGAGGACATCAGTTCTGTCTGGTTTTATTCATTTTATCCCCTGTGCCAGCAATTAACCTGACATTCATAAAAATTTGTTGACTAGAAAGATACTTAAGAAGGAATGCTTCTTAAGAAGGGTTTTGGTGGGGTCCCTCTTTTACCTGAGAAATCTGACATTATTCTGTACTGAGCAAGCATCCTGTAAATGTTTCTATTTTTTCTTTTTTTTTTTCTGCTTATGTGGTACTGAGGAATCGAACCCAGGGCCTCATGCTTTCGAGGCAAGCACTCTACCACTGAGCCACCTTCCCAGCCCCTCTATTTTTTCTTATAGTAGAAGTGTTTCATTAAAATTTGTTCTAAATTGTAATATGGAAAATATCAAATCCTTTGTACATCTGCCTCAACTTTTATATTACTGGAAAGCAAAGAAACTGCCTAATTTTTTGTACTCAGAAGCTTATCAGAACTATAAAAATATTTTATGTATATTCCTTTCTAAAATAATATTCTATCCTCTCACTCTTCTTACATATCCACACAATCTATTTGCTAGTTCTCAGCTCTCCTTGTTTGCTGTTTGTCTCTCTGAATCAGAATGTGAGCTTCATGATGCTTTGAGTTTAACATCACTGTATCTGCAGCACCTATAGTAGCCCTTCAGCATATAATCAGATCACAATATTTTACCATAAAATCAATGAATGTGACTTTAAATCCTGGAGCAGTCACTGGTGTCAACCTCCCTAACAAATATTTCTCACTTTTGAAATAAGCTGCTTGTTGTTTCAATAAATTCCCATACTTTAACTTATACTCAGTATAATCCCTTTCTATACAGCTGATATAGTTATAAAAAAAATCTGCTTGGGAGAAAACTCTGCCTAAATATAGTTACTATTATAATGACATGTACAGAAAGTACTATACCAGATACTTTATATACAACCAAGACAAGATGGTTTTAGGTACAAAAATTACACTTAGAAAAGTCAAAATTATTTGCCTAAGGTCACAGAGCCAGTGACAGATTTAGGGTTCAGACTCAGGTCCTTTTGACTCATTCTCTTTCCATTACCTTATACTGTCATTTATCTATCCTTGTATCTATGTACTTTAAATGTCTAAGTACATAGCTGCAACATCAGGTATTACTTTCTGTTAATATTTTTCAGGGCACATGTGATTCCTTCTTAAGTATCTTTTTTTTAAGTATCTTTTTTTAAAATAAGTTTTTTATTGTGAAAATACTGTACGGAGGGGTTACATGAGCAAGGTAATGAGTACGTTTCTCATCAAGCATTGTTGCCTCCTCCTTTGTTTTTCCACTACCATACTATCTCCAGTCCTATACCCCCTTCTCTCCCTGACCCACTAAAGTTGTAAAGTTCGTTTTTCGACATAGCATCTTATACATCTCATTGTTGCACTTGTATCCCTATTTAAACAATGTTTTTTTCTTTCCCTTCCCCAAATTATACCAACATCAAATACAGTGAAAACAGGGGTTATACAATGGGGGAGGGACATACAAGGAACAAAAAAAAATCACCTTATAAATATGTTAGAAACAATAGCAAGAAAGAAAAAAACCATTTATGTCCTCATCTTGGGGTTCATTTCGCCTAACATCTTTCTAGCCAACAAATATTTACTGATCATCATGCTATATGCTGGATACATAAATAAAACCAGACATACATGATGTCCTCACTATTTTTTTTATTGTGAAAATACTGTACAGAGGAGTTACAATTATATGGGCAAGATGTATCCTCACTGTGGTAGAGATAGAATAATTTTTTTTTTTTTTTGGTTGTGAGGTTTGAACTCAGGTCTGGGGTCATGTCCCAGAGCTCTTTGGCTCAAGGCTAATGCTCTACCACTTTGAACCACAGTCCCACTTCTGGTTTTCTGTTGGTTAACTGGAGATAAGAGTCTCATAGACTTTCCTGCCCTGGCTGGTTTTGAACTACAATCCTCAGATCTTAGCCTCCTGCATAGCTAGGATTACAGACATGAGCCATCAACACAGCTGCAGAAGGTGGAACATCTTTTTACAACATGCAAACACAGTCAGCCTTCTTTTTGGCTTGAGTGCCATGTAGAAGGGTTAAGAAATGTGTCTTTGTGTGTTAATGTCTGACCTGAATAAATGTGAAGAAGAGAAATTACAGGGAAAAGGCGGATTTCAATAGTAGTTACAGTAACAATTGCACTAGGAGTAATGGATTTAGCACCTTTAATTAGCTATTTCTGATTAGGAGTTCATTCTTTGTTTAGAAAGATGAATCAGTAATTATATTTATGCAACTTCATATGTACTACTGAATCCTTTATTCATTTTATGAATTAGGAAAACTGTAGTTTATTTGGTTTAGTTCCTCTGACTTTAATCAACATATTAACTCAGATTTAGTAGGAAAGCTGATCTTTGGTATAGACTTTAGCCTTGCAACAAATTTTTGCATAACACATCTCATGTCCCACTTTGCTTTATTATATTAATTCTATATATGATAGCCACATGCTTTCCTTTCTTGGGACCTTTCTCCTTTCTTGAGCTTCTACTCAGAAAAACTCTCCTTTTCTTTGCTGTTCAGAACTCAATCCCAGTGTCTCTCATTGAAAAATGTCAGAATCCAGAGGGAAGCCAGGAGGAGGAACAGAATAAATGGGAACAGCCTGCATTAAACAAAAGGAAAGAAATGTAAACATCACCTGATGTGGAAAAAATTGTCAAAGCTCATAGAATTCACAAACTGTAGACCATAATGGCATTTGCCTTGTGAAAATTAAAATGTGTTTGTGACTCTAAGTATCACTATTCCACAATACTGTGAAATATGTGAAATTTATGTAATCACCTAATCTCAAAGAAAAAAAAGAAGGGATGGGTTAGGAGAGATGGATGACAACGTTGCCAGATACTTTGTACTCGTATACAAATAGGAATAGGAACTTCTTTGTACAACTACTTAAAGATAATTTTTTAAAAAATGTCAGAATCTAGGTCAGGCATTGTCTTTCACAGTACCCTACAATATTCTGTGCAGTCAATTCTCACAAATTATATGACCACTAGCTTCCTCCACTAGTCCAGGGGTCAGCCAACTGTTGCCCTCAGGCAACCACCATCTGCTGTTTTTCTAAATATTTTTAGTAAACAAAAGTTTAATTTGAACATTGCATATTGATTTGTGGATTTATCCTTGGCTGTTTTCATGAGTAGTTAATAAGGTTCATCAAGACTTATATGTATATATATGTATGTATGTATTTTCTTCTTTAAGACAGGATCTGTGTACCCTGACTCCTGAGTACTTGGCATTACAGGAATACTGTTATAGAAAATTTGGTAATCCTAAGCTAAACCATAAAGTCCTTGAGGGGAGAAATCCACATCTGTTCTTGCTTATTGTTGAATTTCCTGTATCTAACAGGATTCTAGACACTCAGAAGATATTTGTTGAAGATATTTGTTGACAGGTACTGTGGCATTGTCTGTACAATGATGAACAAGGCTGTGGGTTATTGTTGCTTTGATTATAAAAAATGGCCTTGCTGTGTTGACTAGACTGGCCTTCAACTCCAGGACTCAAATCATCCTGTCTCTGCCTAAATAGTATATACCTAGCTTTTAAGGCTGTATGTTTGTTTTTGTTTTGTGATATTATTAAGATATTAAAGGAATTACACTTGGAAATATTACTAGTCCCTAGTAATATTTAGATAAGATTAGAGCAATAGTAATATTTAGATAAGATTAGAGCAAAATTCACCAAGGTATAGAATGTCTTTGCTACTCTATTTATTGTGGGGCTGAGAATATGGAAGGATATGCAGAATATTTATTCATTTTATTGTGCTTAGAAATTCAGGCGGTGGTGACTCACACCTGTAATTGTAGCTACTTATGAGAATAAGATCTGAGAATCATGGTTCAAAGCCAGCCTGGGCAGGAAAGTTCATGAGACTCTTAACTCCAAATAACCACCAAAATGCCAGAAGTTGAGCTCAAGTGGTAGAGTGCTAGCTTTGAGCAAAATCCTCAGGGACAACACCAGGCCACGAGTTCAAACCTCAAGCCAGAGAGAGAGAGAGAGAGAGAGAGAGAGAGAGAGAGAGAGAGAGTACGCGTGCACATGCACACAGACACTGATTATTGTGCTTAATTTTATAATCCTACAAGGTAGGTATTGATACCTTTTTGTCCAGTAGGACTTTAGAGGGTTTGTTCCTCTTTGGAGATCAAAAGGATTTGGGAAAGCTTTTGGATATTCAGTGTAGTATCACGATCCCTGTCCTGACCATGACCCGTGTAGTCTGACTCATATACATTCTTTAAGGGTAAGTATTTGTAGACATAATAGTAGATTGCCAAGATGAAATGACCAAAATCAGTGTTTCCATCTCAAGGTGGAACAGATAGGTCCTTAATATCTTAGATGTTCCCAAATCTTTCGCTTTTCTTTTCACTGTTACTCATTTTGGTTCTTTCACACTTTTTTTTTTTCGGTAACTCAGAAACCAACTCAATATTTAAAAACCTAGACAGCATATAGAGCTAAATAATTTCAGATTTAAACCCTGACTTATCTTGTATGAAGCGCTTCTTTGATGGAAAAGGCCAGATTTTACTTTCAAAAACATGTAAAAAAAATGGTCTCATTAAATTGAAAGATTTATATTTATTGCTAACTTTCTGGTTAAAATATGTTAAGTAAGCTGAATGTTAATTTTTCGTGTGAAGAATTCAAGAAACAGCCATTATAGTATATATTCCTACTAGGATTAAACTAAATTACAGTAAGTGAAGCATTTTAGACGTGTTCAAAAACATCTCCAGTGTTTGCTGTTCTGCTGATTAGGAAAAAGTAATGAACTAGGAATATAATACCATGTGCATCAAATACAATCATATCACCTTCCCAAAGCTTCACTGATGCATCTTTAAAAAGGAGTCAGATAACCAGTGTCATTCATTAGAGAATGGTTTTCAAATTCTTTGGTCATTACACAAGCTCAAACTTCTAGTACATAGCAAACATTCAGTATATATCTGCTTAGTGAAGAGCGATGGATACTAGTGTGTACTAGTTGTGGAGACTTAAAAAGATTCTCTTAAGACTATTAAGGCTCAAGATAACAGTTGCATTAAAACATTAACATTTACTTATGTAGGACATGTATTTTTCTTTTTTAAAGTCCATCACAATGTGTACGTATGTATGTATGCTAAAACACTGAAAAAAAGACAGGCTAAAGAGCACTCTTACAAAGGTAGGATCAACAAGTGCTGTCTTTAACTCCAACTGTCACTGGTGTTAATCAAAATATGGACAAAATAGCGTGTAGGTGGCAGGGCTGTGTTTGGGTACTGTAGGATTCAGTTAATCTGCTATCAAAGATTCAGGAAGGCAAAAAGAGTATGCGAAGGTGGGTGTGAGATGATGCCCCTATGGAGACCTTAAGTTTCAAATTTGAAAAAAAAAAAACTCAGGGTTTCTAGAAAACCCTGAAAATATTTCTTGGGAGAAAGCCTAAGGTTCTTGAGGATACACTGGTGAAGGGGATGCTCACTGGTTCGAAACTGATTCACTGTCGGCTATGTGATTGCGAGAGGCTGAAAATTAAAGCGAGAATGAAGAGACGTGCGAGGCGGCTGCTCGTGCAGCCGTGTAACAGAGACGCCCAAACCTTGTGCTCTATATAACGGTCTACACGAGGAGAGGCCACAGGAGAAATCAGGACACTCCAAACACATGGCATGTGTTTGCTCCAAACACACCCTCCGAGCTGACTGGCGTCGTGTGACAGAAAATAAGACCACCAAACACGAAGGCTGCCAAAGGCCGAGAAGGGCCAGCGGGAAGCACAGACGCGCAGGGGCTCGCCGGGAAGAGGGCGGCCCGTCAGTGCTCCCGGGAAAGCGCGCGGGGCCGAGGGACGCCGGGCGCCGGGCGCCAGGCCCGGCCCGAGGAGGGCGTGGCCCCTCCGCCCGCCTTCACCGGGACGGCGCACCCGCCCCACCCGGCTCCCCCGACAGCACTCGGGCACCGGTGGCACAGAGCTCTTCTCACCTCTCCGCAGGGCCGGCAAGACACGCCCGCGGGGAGTTGAAACCCAGCGGCTCCGGCTGCCTTCAGAGCGCAAGAGCCGCCAAACCCACTGCCTCCTCATGTTCTCGGAGCTTTCCCGCGGGCAGGCGGAAGTGAAGGCGGATGTTGTTCGCTTGGGCCTTCGGGGAAGGTAGTTTGGGCGCCACTAGGATGCTGGGAAATGTAGTTTTCTGTCAGCGAAAAAGCCAACTTCCGGAGGCGATTCGATCTGGGCTCCCACGAAAACCAGACTTTTGCGTAGACAGACTTCGCTTCTTCCACCTGGGGCGGGGAGAGGGGAAGGCGAGAAAGAAGGAAAAAGGTGTGAGAGAGAGGTAAGAGAGAGGGGGGGGGAAGGAGAAGAAAGTAGCCGTACAGCATGCTGGGACTTGTAGTCCTGACCGGGCGCTGCACCAAATAGTAGGGATGCGGGGGCCTAACGGTGTCGCGTGGTTGCTGTTGTGCCCTCTGGTGCTTTGGAGGACCACCTGTTTTAGTTGGTGTAGTCCTGCTTCTTATGGCTAATTCTGCCATTTATCCCTCTTAGACCTCAGCTCCTCCAGACTTGGTTCCTGATGGTAAAATGCTATGCTGTTGTTTTACATCACTTCTGAAATAACACACAGTCTTTAGGTTATTAGTGGCTTGATTAATTGACCTTTGTGAGAGTTGGCTATTTAGCAAGCATCATTTAAGGGCACTGAAGCATATTCAAGGAACAAAACTTGATTCCCACTAGCAAGTGGTTTTACAGGAAAGGCCCGAGCGCGCACACGCTTGTTTGTGTGCGTGTGCATCCGTGCAGGGAGGATAGGTTATACCATTTTTTAAAAACCTATCATAGGTTTCTTTTTCCCTTCCATTATTTCAATTTTCAAACATTTAATAAAGGAATAGTGAAGTCTTACATTATATTTACTTCTTGAAACTGAAGGGTTGGGGGTATAACTCAAGTAGTGATAGAGCACATGTCTTCCAGTTTCCCCCCATGCATTACTTTCCAGTAGCGCCACATAAATAAGATGCAAATGGTGGTGCACACTTCCAATCTCAGGTACTTGAGAGGCAGAGGCAGAAAGATAACAAAATTGAGGACAGCTTGGGCCACGTAAGGAGACACCTACAAGTCCTTATCTCAAAAACAAAAAAGCTAAGGGCATGACAAAAGTAGAGGTCTTGCCTTCATGGGTTCAAAACCCAGTACCAGTGCTGGGCACTGGTGACTTGGGCCTGTAGTCCTAGCTACTCGGAGGCTAGGATCTAAGGATTACAGTTCAACCTGAGCAGCCAATTCTGAGAAGTGTTTACCTCCAAGAAACCAACAAAAAAAAAGCCAGAACTGGAGATGTGGCTCAAATGCTAGAGCGCCAACCTTGAGTGAAAAACTAGCAAGAATGTGCAGGCCCTGACTTCAAGCTCCAGTCTGGCACCAAAAAATAAAATGAATAAAATCCTCTAACTTTATTGTTGGAGTTTTCTGGGGGAGGCCATTGCTTTGGATTACTGTGTGGGTGCCTGTGTTGACCTATTTAACACTACTTCAGTTGTATATCCTTCATCCCAAACTTGCTGCATTGGAGACTGAAGCCCATGTATAAATTGCCTAAGGCAGTGATACTGATATGCCAACCATTTTAGCAGGCTTTGCGGCAACTGCAAGAGCCAGGGTTCTTCATGAACGTGAGGAACCTGACTCTGTCTCACAAGCAAAAGAGGAGGGCAACTGCTGCCCTAAGATAGATTTCTATGGCTTCCATCTTTTGGCAGCTACTCCTGGATTCTCTGTCTGATGATCCTCAGGTTTTTGACGTTGCTGCAGCGGACATGGCCAGTTCTTCTGCTGCTTTTGTTCTGTCTTTGTCCTGAATAAGTGATAATAGAAATCACCTTTCTGCTGTTCATGCTGCCATACTTCATACTCCTAGGAACATAATGCAAAAGGAAGAGACTTTTGTGTTGGCTCCCAATGACCTCAGACTTTCCCTGTCAAAATTCTGCTCAGAAACTGCGGAGGGATGGAGGTGTTTTGCTAGTTGAAGCTCAGGCTTCACACTCTAGAGTGTAGGTTAGGTACTTTTCAGCACTGGAGTCCATCTGCTGGCTGGGTTTCCCTAGTTTCTCCAGAGAGGACCCATCCACTCGGCCTGTCTGAGCATTCTGTGTCCTAGGGAAACTCTCCTTGGCATAGTTAGGAGCTACAGCCTGAATATCCTGGTTGTTGAAAGGTAGAGAGGGTTGGTGTTTCCACATAGTAAATATCCTGTGTCTCTCTTCAGGTGGAAGTTTGGCTTTGTTATTTTGGAACCAGTTACTAATTGCATGCAATGGACAATGGATTGCAAAATCCGCTGCTTGTAAAATCAGGGTAAGTTATCTGATGGAATAGCTCATGGAGTTCTTGTAGTTCTTATTTAGTAAATTTGTGTTGGTGTTTTGTGCATCCTTTTCTCTTTGGGTCACTATTGTCATTGGGACTTCTCTTTTCACTGTTGGAAGCCATGGAGAAACTAGTCTGTGGGCTGGAGGCCTAGCTCAAGTGGTAGTGGGCCAGTTGTGTGCAAAAGTCTAGTTCAGGGTCTTTCCTCTTCCTCCTCTACCTCTTCCTCTTCCTGTTCCTCCTCCTCCTCTTCTCTTTTTCATATTATTATTATTATTATTACTAAGTAGCATACAAACGGGTCACTATTCCATAAGTCAAGTTATTGTAGATTTTTAAATGATAATTTTCAATGAGAGGTATGATATATATATTTTTGTAGATGGCAGAAATGTGTGTTATTACTATAACATACTTGGAAAGCAATTTATTACTACATGTGAAAGTGAATATCCAGGGTTTCACATCTAAGAAACAACCCTTACAATCACACTTATAGCTAACCGTTGTTTTTTTAATTTTTAAAATTATTATAAAGGTGATGTATGAGAGGGGTTACAGTTACATAAGCCAGATAAAATGTTCATTTCTTTTTGGACAATATCACCCTAGCCATTTTAAAAAGTGAGTATTATAATGCTTATAGTTATGAAAATTAGAAATAATCTAAATTTTCAGAAGTTATTCAAACAACATGCAGAAATATCCTGTCAGAGTGCTCAATATTTTAATAAAAATCTGAAAGACAGGAAAGTTCAAAAATATATGTTCCTCAGTTTCAGGATATGTGAAGAGTTAAATCCTGAGAATCCATTTCAAACTAAAAAAAGCACCAGAAACCCATATCTTTAAAATGCATTTAATACAGTTTCTTATGGTAATTGATTTATGGATTTTGTACCTTTATGATGGGCTACGAGTCATACATTCAGAAGAAACATAATACTTCAAATTTGGAAATTTGATGTTTGCTTGAGTTAGCAATGTGAAGGAGAACAATGTGTTTGCTGTGTTGGGCAATGGCAGAGAGGTGCAGCTATGTCAGAAATTGATGATCTTGTGGCTGTAGCATCCCATCATACAGTACCTAATCTTAATCTAAGGATTCAAAGCATTCGTTAGGCCAGTTTGTTTTTAGCTGTGTGGCTTTATGGTGAGGACTCCCACAACCTTTTTGTTTTTCGCTTTTGTTTTTCGTATTCAATAAATTACATGGGGTATTTAACATTTTATTATAAAATAGGTTTTGTAGGTTAGAAGTGTGGGTCAGTTGGCAGAGTGCTAGCCAATGAGCAGAAGTGTGAGGTACTGAGTTTGAGTCTCCGTCACAGACCTAATTAAAGAAAAGGTTTTATGATAGGTGATTTTACCTAACTGTAGGCTAGTGTGAAGTGTTCTTAGCACATTTAAAGTAGGTGAGACTGTTCTGATGTTCAGTGGGTTCTGCATTTTTTTGCTTCAGTATTTTCAATTTATGATATATTTATTGGAATGGAGCTCCATTAATACCAGTCCAGTAGCAATGCTACATGTACCCTACCACATTAGTGTCATAGCTAAGCCTAGCCTACTTTAGCCTACATTGGAATACTTACATTTATCGGACAACTGGACCAAAACAGCTAACACAAAGCCCATTTTATAGTAAGGCATTGAAATTCTCATGTACTGAAAATGAAGAAAAGAATGGTTGTAAGGGTATGCTTTTGTATTATCACAAAAGTAAAAAAAAATGTATAAGTTGAACTCTTATAAATCAGGACCAACAGTGCGTGTGTGTGTGTGTGCGCGCGCGCGCGTGCACATGCGCATGCATGATTGTAATTCTGTAAAATGATTTTTGTGATTTTTCTATGAGGGAGTCATGTGCAGGTAGAAGATACAAAACACTAAATGGGACCACAATATTTTCACTTATTTTAAAGTAATAATTATGAAAAAAACAGGACCTGGCACATACATGTATCCAATAGTAATGATTCCTAATGGCATTTGTCAGTAATAATTCTCTATGAAGCTCTCATGTTTCTTGCAAGCAGACTTTCTTTGCTTTTTGTTATGGATCTTTTTGGTGTCAATCCTCAGTCCTAGGCTTGAACTCAGGACCTGGGCTCTGAACCTGAACTTTTATGCTTAAGGTTAGTGTTTACCACTTGACCCACACCTCCAATTGTGACTTTGTTTTCCATAGTAAATTGGAGATAAGAGTCTCATAGACATTTCTGCACAGACTGGCTTTGAACCATCATCTTCAAATCTCAGGTTCCTGAGTAACTATGATTATAGGCATAAGCCACCAGTGTCTGGCTTTTGGAACTCCTTTTGAAAAGAAGTTTGTGCAATGAACAACTTTGGGAAACAGAATCTCTTACTTTGGAGCAAAAGACATCATATATAATGCATATTAGAAAAGACGATTCTCCTAGCTCGGGGTTCCAATCTGTGAGACATTGCATGCTCTGGAATCTGTATCAAGCCCACAGGATTTGGGGGCTCAGGGAATTGACACAAATATACTGGTGCTTGTACTTTGGGATGTTGTCATAAGTAACTAAAATCTTTTGTTTCTGGCAAAAGAGTTAACTTCTACCAGCATCTGTGCAAATGTGGCAGGCTTGCTTGGTAGCTTGAAAATAGGACAAGACCTCAAACTTTCCACAGTTTTTATAATCATTACCATTCTTCCTTATTCTTCAGATCTCAATTAAAAAATTATCTTTAAGTAGTTATA